GATATGTTTTAGTAAATAATTTATAGTGTAACACCAAGGGTGTTACAGCTGTCCCCAACTACACCTATCTGAAGTTAAAGATGTCGGGTCCACGCGGGGTTATCACCATCGGCACCTCCTTCAAGCACGCCTACAAGTGCGAGGTCAAGTGCTGCGAACATGCCGCGACAATTGTCACCTTCAAAGAGCTTGCGTCCATCAGGGAGGAGATCATCGAAGAAACTCCTGACCCTAAGCAGTCGGATGGGTCTTTCGAGCCTGTAGAAGGCACCAAAGAGGTCCTCATAGACCCAAGCGGCTCCGAGGGCAAAGTGGTGCACATTGGCACCACACTTTCCTCCAAATAGGAAAGTTCGCTCATTGACTTCCTCCACGCCAATAGAGATATCTTTGCGTGAAGACCCTCGGACATGCTAGGCATTCCGAGAGAAGTCATTGAGCACGCCTTGAAGATCAGGCCAGGCTCCAAGCCGGTAAAGCAGCACCTGTGTCGCTTCGATGAGGAGAAACGAGAGCCATCGATGAAGAGATTGCGAAGCTTTTGGCGACCAGGTTCATTAAGGAAGTATACCACCTGGAGTGGTTATCCAATCCTGTTCTTGTATGAAAAAAGAGTGGAAAATAGAGAATGTGTGTTGACTACACGGGTCTCAACAAAGTGTGTCCAAAGGATCCATTTCCTTTGCCACGCAAAGACCAAGTAGTCGACTCGACCTCAGGGTGCGAAACGCTTTGCTTTCTTGATGCGTACTCCGGGTACCATCAAATCATGATGAAAAAGTCTGACCAGCTCGTGATGTCTTTCATCACCCGGTTCGAATCATTCTGCTATGTCACAATGCCATTTGGCTCGAAGAACGCTTGAGCTACATACTGTATTTGCATGCTCAAGTGTTTTGGGGATCTCATCGGACGGACCGCTGAGGCCTATGTAGATGACATCGTGGTTAAATCCAATGGGGTGACTAGGTCATAGCCGACCTAGATTTGTCCTTCATGAAACTCTGAGCAAACGACATTAAGCTCAACCCCAAGAAGTGCAGTTTTGGAGTCCCAAGGGGTATGCTGCTAGGTTTTATCATCTCCGAGCGTGGCATCGAGGCCAACCCAGAGAAGATCTTGGCCATCACGAGGATGGGCCCGATTCAGAACATAAAGGGGGTTCAACGAGTTACAGGGTGCCTCGCCGTGCTCAGTCGCTTTATCTCGCGCCTCAGTGAACGAGGTCTCCCCCTCTATCGGCTTCTAAAGAAGGCCGATCGTTTCAAATGGACGCCCGAGGCCCAGGAGGCACTTGACACGGTTAAATAGCTTCTGACGAAGACCCTGATCTAGTCCCTCTGATCGACGGGGAACCACTTCTGCTCTACATTGCGGCCACCACACAAGTGGTTAGCGCCGCTCTGGTGGTAGAGCGAGAAGAAGAGGGACACACCCTCAAAGTGCAGCATCCCGTGCACTTCATCAGCGAGGTCTTGTCCAATTCTAAAACTCGCTACGAGGAAGTTGCGTCACTACTTCAAGTCACATTCGGTGACAGTCGTGACGTCCTACCCTCTCGGCGAGGTCGTCCAAAACCGGGATGCCACAGGAAGAATCGCGAAGTGGGCACTCGAGCTGATGGGTCAAGGCATTTCATATGCCCCTCGGACGACCATCAAGTCTCAAGTGTTGGTTGATTTCATTGCAGTGGACCAAGGTCCAAATGCCGCCAGCAGTCATCGACCAAGAGTACTAGATGATGTACTTCGATGGATCGCTGATGAAGAAAGGCGCCGGCGCGGGGCTGATCTTCGTTTCGCCCCTCGGGGCACACTTGAGGTATATGGTTCGCATCCATTTCCCCTCCTCTAATAATGTGGCTGAGTATGAGGCACTCATCAACGATCTACGCATCGCCATCGAGTTGGGTATCTGATGGCTCGATGTTCGAGGCGACTCTCAGCTGGTCATCAACCAAGTCATGAAGGAGTCAAGCTGCCACAACACTAAGATGGCTGCATATTACCGAGAAGTCCGCCATCTGGAAGACAAGTTTGACGGTCTCAAGCTCAGTCACATCTCGAGGCGTCTCAACAAGGCGGCCGACGCGCTGACGAAAACGACATCCGGCCGAGAGCCGGTGCCGACGGGCGTCTTCGCCAACGATCAGTATAAGCCCTCGGTCTGCTAGGAGGAGCTAGAACAAACTAGTGACAGATCACCTGCCTTGGGATCGGGGGCAAACCAGCCGACGGCTCCATCCGACCCTAAAGTCATGGAGCTTGACGAGGATCCAACGACAGAGCCCGACCCTCTGGCCAACTGGAGGACGTCCTACCTCGACTACCACCTCCGTGAGGCGCTACGTGTAACACCCTCCGTAAATCATTTACTAAAACATGTCATGAACATTATGTTTATGTGTTAATGTATATAATAAAGTGTGTAAATCAATTTTCGTAACTCAAAACGATCAACAAAAATGTGAAACGTAAAGTTGATTCAATAGTCATGTTATATCACTTAAGGTTGAAAACCAATTTTATTAAGCAAAAATGTTATAGAACATATATATGTCGAACGAAAAAAGGATATGATTTTTCTAAGATATATTAATCATATCAAATCATATTTGTTTGCGTAATTAAATGAAGATAATTTTTATATGAAAATTATAGATCTCGACGAGATCTACAACTTTCTAGTTTTGAGTTTTTCATTTGAAGTTGTTAAGATGCTAAAAATAAATGACATATTTAAACTTAAGGGTATTTTCGATTTTTTCACACTGCAGTTTGATTTTGGCGTTAGAGCCCAAACCGACAAAGAAGATGGCATGAAGGGCAAAAAAGTTGGAGCAGTGGTGTTGAAGACCATTGAACTTTTCCGTAAAACACACAGGCATTACGATCTTTTTTTAATAGCACACAGAGAATTTCTCCTTTTTTTTTTGTGTGACGATGCATCTGGAAAGTCCAAGCTAGGGGTGTATGTGGACGGTAGGATTTGTTCAAGCACGTGAACGAACGGTTGACAAATATGAACGACGTGGGCCCTATCCTCGCTTCGGGAATTGTCGCGAGGTTTTGTCACGTAGAGACTAGGAGTCTCTTTGGCGGTGGCTCTCGCAGGGCTTGACCCGGCTCCCGCAGAGCGTGCCAAACACTGCTTAGGAAAAGCCTTCGTATGGGGAGCCGGTCAAAAGCCAGAGCCAATTTTTACCTGCGCAAGAGAAGCCTAAAAAACGAGTTTCGTATGACTCCTTGCTGTGGGTTCACGTCGTCTAGTGCGAATGAGTCGTTTTGCCAAACGTTCTCCAAAACGGCTTCAGCTCCTTCAAAAAAACTGCTCCTTTAAAAAAACAAGAGCCGGGACTATTTTCAAAGGAGCCAGGGCCCGCCCCAAGCGACTGGCCCGTGACCGGATAGATTAACCGGAGTGCCATTCCGGGCTAGTGCTGCCGTCACTCGGTTACAGAGCTGCGAAAGGGCATTTCCGTGATTCTTTGAGGAACTGAGGGCTCTCTCAGCTTTGGGCTCCCCGAAGCTTCAAAAGCGTCACGCGCGCACGTTGTATGGATGTTTGGAGCCGTCGCGTGCGTACCGGTTCGGCGGGTTCGCCGGACGGCCGGAGCAATCTGACGTCGTCAGTTCGAACGATCCAACAGTCCAACTTGTTCAATTTTAGTGTAAAAAAAAATCCCAATGAAATGAGACCATGAATGAAAATGTGTAGAATCAGTGACTGAAGCGTGTAACACTTGAATCGGTAATTGTTAGTAAAAAGGCTCATGCAACTTGATTTTTCATACGAGTACTATGTCTATTTTTAAAAATGTAATTCTTTTTGTCTGAGATTAAATGCATCTAACTTCGACAAATTATGTAGAGAAAATATATTACAACAAATAAGGAGTTATGAGGTTGTACTTAGTCCGGATATTCTAGATTTATATAATTCTTTCGATAAAATTATCGATATCTACCATATTAAAACGGTAAAGCATGAAAAATATACTTCGTAACATATGGTTTGCCAGGAGGGCGGAGCGATCTAATTGTGCTTGTTTGATATTGTAAATGTTATTTGTTTTTCCCTATTTGTTAGATTTAAAATAGTTTCACCTATATGAAACTTCGAAATGAAGGTTGTACTCCTACCAAGTAATTGAACTATTAATACATATTTTATGGTGAATTCAATAAGGCTAATGTGGCATTGGCGATGTTAGATGAATTTTGTATAAACTTAGCTAGTTAAAGTTAAAAAAAATCAATTTGTGATGCAAGGAAATGTGATTCTGAATAGATGTATCTGCCTCTACCAACTATGTAAAGCCAACAAACCAACTAACCAAGTGATCATATGAACACGATTAACCTTGTCCCAATGGAAAGAGTATGATGCCGCATCATTGCAGTAATCATCTCAAGGCCGTTCACATCATGATGATATAGATTCTACTTGATGACATACTGGTTACGAAATTCAAACCTACTTCGTTGAAGCATAATATTCACGAATTTATTTTGGTGGGTGCGGATGAGGTCAGACACTACACTATTTTTTTCTTGCAAAAACCAAGAGAATTAAATTTAATCCGAATTTTCAGGGAAAAAAGAAAACAGAATGGAGAAAAATAAAAACGGCCCCCACCAGCTAACGGTAACAGTGACGAGGCGCGCGAGTTCAGGAAGAGCGAGTCAGCGAGAGGCAATCCCGCCTGCCGCAATTCAACAAGCGAGGCTAAAAAAACAATTCGAAAATCGAACCCCCCCGACCTACGCGAGGAGAAAACAGAAAACAACAAACCATTCCGAAACGAAACAAAGCGCTGCTCAGCCGCTCACGAAGGAGCGAGAGGCCAGCGCGCACCCCGGCGACCCCGTGGCGGAGGCAAAAACCCCGCGCCGCATTGCGCCGAAACCCTCCGATTCGGCCCGGGCCGAGCTCGAATCCGCGCAATCTCGCCGCCGGCGGGCTCGATCTGAGCCGGGGCCGCCGCGCGCCGGCGAGGGATGGGGAGCGTGGACGGTGGGGTCGAGGGGATCCACGAAGGTGAGCCGTGTGCTGATCTGGATGCACTTTGGGTTGTGGAGTTCGAGCCAGGCAGCTCAAATGTTTGGGTTGGGGAGAGTCTTGTCACGATTTTCGTCACCCACCAATGGGCAGTTCTTGTTTTCTGTTTATTGAGCTGAATTTTAGCTTGACGGTCTCATTGTTTGGATCTCAGTTTTTGATTGTTTAGCTATATTTATTGAAGTAGTATATGGCTGACCTTAGCTGTTGTGCTTCTGTTTGCTCTGAGATTTTAGTTCGGAGCTGTCGAGCAGTGGAGCTCGGACTCGCCATTTCCTTCCTTTTTTTGGGGGGTGTCATATTTACATCACACGGTGCTGTAAAATCCTTGTAGCTAATCGGCGTGCACAGCTGATCGAATGGATGAATGCCTTACTCCCGGAATTCAGTTTGCCTCCGGATTCAACAGATGAAGAGCTACGAGAGCTGCTCAGTGACGGCGTGGTCCTGTGCCGTGTTGTGAACACACTCATCCCGGGGGTTCTTGAGGCAAGCCTTTCTTTTTCCCCCGATAATATGCGTTGCTTTTGTTTTTTTGTTGCGCTGTGGAGATGTTGATGTTTGTGCTTTGAGTGTGGTCATTTTTGTTCAGGGATCCTGGGAGGGTTATGCACCGTCAGATCAGAGGTTAAGCAATGTGAAGAAATTCCTCTCAGTGGTTGCTGATATGGGGCTGCCAGGTTTCAGTGTGAAAGATCTTGATGAGGTGAGGGTTCTGTTATCAGTTGTCATAATTTTGAAGTTGGCATGCACGCCAGAACTCGAAATTGGCATACTTTTGAAGCTCAATTCGTATTGCATAGATGCCGTTTTTGATGCAGTATTTCATAGTAGGGTGCCTAGCTTTGTCGGATATGTTTTTCAACTTTTTGACATTTTCCAGTTACATACAGACAAATAAAAGTTTGGAATGTACATCTATATGCGATCCCTTTCCTTTGTTTTTGGTGTAAATGCGTTCTTGATATCTTCGCAATGTGTAGCTATGATTGAACTGCAGAAATAACTTAAATATCTGGTTCCACGGTAAATATACTTGATTTTGTTAGTTCGTTTTTTTACTATGCTGATTGCTTTCATGAAGGAGGCCTTCAACTATAAATATGATGGACTGTTGCTTTAAATCTTATGTCACAACATAGCTATAGAACCTTGTAACATGTCATTTTATTCGAATGTTTTTATGTTGCTGAGGCTCACGAGTCACGAGCACGGGAACATGGACTAAAATTCCATATTTTATCTATTTGCGCACTATAAGATAGGGAGTACTCTTAGATGTGACATATTATTTCCCTAGTTCCTGCACTCCTGGTTGTCACATTCTGTTAACTTCTAGGCTTGATGATTACAGGGATTAATGTCTTCTGTAGTGGAATGTCTCTTGGTTTTGAGGGACAGTGTGGATCCTAAATTAGGTGGTAATATTCCACCAGATGTAACCAGAACTCCTTCGAGAAAACAATGGGGAGTTCCGGAAATGGACAAGCCTCAAGTTCCTGGTGCAGCACTAGGGAAAAGATCCCCTGCAGAGGACAAGAGAAACGGCGTTGCAGATCCCAAAGCCCATCAGAAAACTCCTGTCTTTTCTGGTAGATTTATTTCACACACAAGCTTTCAAGAATCATCCAGAAATGAGATATTCAGATTCAGATTACACCTTAGATAGTTTTAATTCATTACAAACTGCGAACTCAATAATCACTATTATTTTAATATCGTTTCCAAGCTGCACATCCACAATATTATAACATTTTCCACTTTGTATAGCGCCTTTCATTGTATTGGAGTGCAGATTTCATATCTGTTTAATCTGTGGGGTATCGTTATGTATCCTGCAGGACAAAAGTTTCGTGAAGTTTTTCAATTAAAACGCGGATCATACTCTGATCTTCCTGCTGCCAAGATTTCAGAGATGATGCACTCTAATAGCTTAGATGTAAGTTCTTCAAGGATACTGCCCAAAGTTGTTGAATTATGCTACCCTGCTATCTGGTGTCCCAGTTGTAACATTAGTAATCTTCTTGCAGAATGCATCCACACAGTCGCTTATTAGTGTTGTTAATGGCATTTTGGATGAAAGCATAGAAAGGAAAAGGGAGAAATACCACATGTCTGTGTTCATTTTGTACTACATCACTATCTTTCCATTAATGATTGTTTACAACAGTGCTTAACTTTGACTGCCTCATCTCAGCGTGTAGTTTACTTACTGAGGAAAGTCGTTCAAGAGATTGAGCGTCGTCTCTGTATTCAAGCAGAGCACATAAGAAGTGTAAGAGAATCTGCTTAAAACATGAATTTTCCTTTTAGGCACACAAATTCACAATGAGTCAAATACCTTATACTGCAGCAAAATGTTATCATCAAGACAAGAGAACAGAAGTACTGTTCAAAAATTAAAGCACTTGAAATATTGGTAAATGGCACAAATGAAGAAAACCAGGTAATAATTCATGTGGTTGATTAGTTAGACAAATTATGTGTGTTTAAAAGTTTTACTTTATTTAATATTAACATGTAGTTTCTCTCTTCAGATGGCAATAAACAGGCTTCAGATAGTCAAGGTTTGATCCTCATCCAATACATTATAATTTTCTATGTTTTGAAACTTTTCTCTTTATTCCATGCATTATGTATGCTTCAGTAATAACATAAAGATCTTTGAACTGTCATTACATAATATCTGATGTGATAAAAAGGATGAGCCTCTATGTTTTGAAACTTTTCTCTTTATTCCATGCATTATGTATGCTTCAGTAATAACATAAAGATCTTTGAACTGTCTATCTGATGTGATAAAAAGGATGAGCCAATAAACACCACTATTTTACTTTTACCACTTCTACTGTTAGTAGAACTTATGGTAGCAGATATAATAATATATAAAATGATGTATCCTCAAATTGTCAGATATTATGTATCTAATGTCATAAAAAAATGACACAATAAACATCTATGTTTTACCACTTAAGTTAGTAATTAGTAGAAGTTGTGGTGGTCTATGAATATGATTAATGTTATTATATCTTTTTCTTCTTTCAGAATGAGAAGTCAAAAATCGAAGAGAGAAGAAAACTCAGTGAGCAAGATGTTCATCAATTGATGAAAGAGAAAGAACATTCTGAAAACATTATAGCGAGCCTAAAGAAAGATATGGAAGCCATGAATAGATTGCATGAGCAGCAACTTGAGCAAATTGAAAGAAAGGCAAAGGAAATGGAGGAGCAACTAACCACCAGAATAAAAGAAGTAGAGTGTCTCTTGCTACAATCGAATAAGAAAGTTGAAGAAGTTGAGACTGCTTCCAGGCTAAAATCACAGTTATGGGATAAGAAAGAGAACAATTTTCAAAGTTACATGGATAATCAACAATTAATTATCAAGGTTTGTTCACCAGCAGTGATTTCTTTTGTTTTATTTTTAATCCAGTTTTTGTGTCTTTTACTTTCTTTACAATCCATTACTTAAAAAATGCAGGACATAAGAATATTGTCACGATCATATGAAAATGATATGTATGCACTTCAAATGCAGTGGAGAAATGAGATCTCTAACTTGGGTATGTTTTCTTTTGTAATATGCTATACAAAAGTTCATAGTAAAGTCTATTTAATATGTTTGTCCTTTTGATGTTAAAAACCTGTGTAGGATCTGGGTTAAAATGTTTGGTTGATGCTGCTGAAAATTACCATAAAGTCTTGGCAGAGAACCAAAAGTTATTTAATGAAGTGCAAGAACTAAAAGGTATTTGTTTCCAAATGTTTTTTTACCTTAAACTCTAAGTATAGATATTATAATCATGTTTTAATCTTGTCATTTTCTTTCAGGTAATATAAGAGTATATTGCCGTGTCAGGCCTTTTCTTTCTGGTCAAGATAAAAAGTCTACCACAATTGACTATATGGGGGAAAATGGTGAGCTACTTATATCAAATCCATTTAAGCAAGGGAAGGATGGACACAGGATGTTCAAGTTTAATAAAGTGTTTAGTCCATTTGCTTCTCAAGGTATGTTTTCTTTTAACTTGAAACTAACTGATTATTTATTATCACATTTGTAGTGTTATAGTCTGATTATTCTCTGTAATTTTACAGCTGAGGTTTTTTCTGACATACAACCACTAATCAGATCAGTCCTCGATGGATTCAACGTTTGCATTTTTGCATATGGCCAGACCGGTTCTGGAAAAACATACACTATGGTACTGTAGGATCAATCATAGTAAAAACATTGTTCTCACTACAATAGTAATGTTACTAATTATGATATTTGTTTTGTTGTTACTATTTATTCTTTAGAGTGGGCCTAGCACATCGAAGCAGGATTGGGGTGTCAATTATCGAGCTTTGAATGATTTGTTTGATATTTCACAAAGTAGGAGAAATGCCTTCTCATATGAGGTGGGGGTACAGATGGTTGAGATATACAATGAGCAAGTTCGTGATCTGCTATCAAATGATATTGCACAGAGAAGATATCCTTTTTGAACTATCACTTTAGCTTTTTTTTCATTGCATTTATTATCTTCAAAATATTAATATATGAAACATTGATGTTATTCTTGCATCTGGCAAAATATGTTTTCTTTAACATAAATAAACACTTGGGATTTGGAGCACTTCTCAACCCAATGGGCTTGTTGTTCCAGATGCAAGCTTGCACTCAGTTAAGTCGACATCTGATGTATTAGACTTGATGGAAATTGGGCAAGCAAATAGAGCGGTTGGTTCAACAGCGCTAAATGAGCGAAGTAGTCGGTCACACAGGTTAGTCACACCAATAACTATTTTTTTCTCTCTACATGTACTTTAGTATTGTATCTTATTTTGAATATTTTATTTGCAGTATTCTAACTGTACATGTTCGAGGGTTGGATTTGAAGAATGGATCCACCTCTAGGGGTTGTTTACATCTTATTGATCTTGCTGGTAGTGAGAGGGTGGAGAAGTCTGAAGTAACCGGGGATAGATTAAAAGAAGCACAATACATTAACAAATCACTCTCTGCATTAGGCGATGTGATTTTTGCTTTGTCACAGAAAAGTGCCCATGTGCCTTATAGAAACAGCAAGCTAACACAAGTTCTTCAAAGTTCTTTAGGTAATCAAGTATTTATTTACTACCAGTAAATTATAGGTGTTAAATAGATTTATCTGAATCTTGTTAATATTTATATTACCTTTTGTTTTCTTTCAGGCGGACAAGCAAAAACTCTAATGTTTGTTCAAATAAATCCTGATGTTGAGTCATATTCAGAAACTATAAGCACTTTAAAGTTTGCTGAAAGGGTGTCTGGAGTAGAGTTAGGTGCTGCGAGAAGTAACAAGGAGGGAAAGGATATAAAAGAGTTATTGGAACAGGTCTTTTTACTTCTTCTTTTTGACTTGTCACTAACTGGAGTTTGTTTCTCATTATGTTGGACTGTCTGAGCAATTTTAATTTTTTTTAAAAAATAATATACTAAAAAAGGGCAAACTTTTATATGAATGCTATGTTAGTATTTACCAAGGTTCGACTTCTTGTTCCAGCTTTGCATACTACGATCACTTCTTGTCCCAGCTCTTGAATCAAGTTTAAAGCTCAAGTGATTTTAGTAGTTAGTTATTCAAAGGTTTGGTGTGCATAAACTGGTTTTGATTAATCTTTGCACGATCAGCTGGTGTTAATATAGTATTTGTGGAACACATTCTTTTTCTTTTGTGAAACTATTGTAGATTCTTTCTAGGCTCTTGCTATGTGAGTTTTCTATAGTTTTTTTTAGTATTTGTTTCTTAACAGATAGACCAGTCACCAGTCGCAGAACATCCACAATGCTACATACATACTAAGTTACTAGCATATCCTTTTTCTTTGTGAAACCATACCCTTGGATCAATCATAAAATGGAAACTAAAAGGGAAAATATCAAGTCTGAACCTTCTTCACACCATTATAACCTCCAAAGTTTGTATAGTTTTAGATATATGGAAAACCAGGGCTAATAGTAGAGACGCTGATAATGATGTAATATTTTAATTATACATTTTGCATGTGATGCCTGTCTTTTGGTTTGAATATCTCAGTTTTTAAACTGCATCAGTTTGAAACAGCAACATTTTACATATTTTATCCAGGTTGCGTCTTTGAAAGACACAATTTCACGCAAAGATACGGAAATAGAGCAGCTCCAAGTCATCAAAGACAAAGTAAAATCCCCAAATTTATTGTTAGATAGAAATGGGCCTGGCTTGACGAAGATTACGGTAGACCAACCTAGCCAACTATTATCAGGCGAACGGATGCTCAAGTCTAGTGACAGAGTTCTATCAGATCCTCAGAGTTATGGTGAGGTGAATGGAGATTCTAACCATAATTTGACGGATACTGCACCAGTGAGCTTAGATGAAGCAGAATATGAGGACAATGCATCCGATGATGGTTTATCAGGTGAAACCGAGAATTACAATTCAGCTGCTGAGATGACAGTGGAACGGCTGTAAGTCATCTAGACTTCCGTTCACTTCTTGTAAAATATCATTTACTTGTTAATTCTCTCTTTCTTTTTCATTATATTCACTTTATCATCACAACAATAGCAAGAATGATAACTTATTTGGTAATGTTAAAAATATTGCAGGCATAGATTTCCATCAAGAATAAGCAGATTCACTCTCACAAAAAACGGGCAACCATCTATGTCTAGATCAAAATCAAAGGATGCTAAGACTCCAAGTATGTATTCTAAGGCAATCAGGCACGCAACTACTTTAGCATGTTAGGCTATAATTACCAATTCTAACAAGGGTTATACTATTTGAATAGGTAATACAAAAGCTCCATCTAGCCAGTTCACAGGAGGTTCTTCAGTCAGGGGGTCTAAAAGATGGCAGTAGTAAAGCACGGTCATGTTGCTCGTTTTGATGTGCATTGTAATTGAAATGTGAATTTGATGGGTAGTTGTAGGACTATTTTATGATTGTAACTTCAGAAAATGATAGACATTCTGCTGGCAGAAGATTTGAGACCTTCGTTTGATCATTTGCTTATGCCGAGCAAAACACCAAACAATGCTCGATTGCATGTGAAACATTCTGACCTGTACCATTTGAAGAGGCTGGTGCGCCTCCGGAGCTGTATATATACCACCACCAAATTGTCTGCTGAAAATTTCCAGTTTGATTGCATCGAGGAAGTATTGAACTTTTCTCATGATTCTCATTTCATATAACACATCGGTTTTCAATTTTCTTGAAACGTGTTTCTGTTTCTTTTTTATAAGCATGGTAAACTCCATTACATAGAAACACGTTCTGTTTCTGGCAACGAATTTGTTCAGTGCTGCCACTGGTACAAATAATTTGTCAGAGGAATCTCATATATTCTGCTACCTACACATAAGAGTGCATTTTGGTTTTCAATTTTGTTGAAACACGATTCTGTTTCTGGCAACGATTTTGTTCAGAGCTGCCACTGGTACAAAATATAGGGATTGTGATTTGATTATTTGAGAGACACGAGAGGATTAGGAGTGGGGAGAGACAGACCGCGATTCTTCCCGTCCGAACGGCCGGACGGATGCCGTGCGCCGGACCCGCGCGATCTCCCGCGCAATGCGCTTGCACGGCAGCGAGGCCCACGCGCGACCTACGTGCATGCACGAGCGAGCGAGCGCTGCCCGCTGGGCACGGGATTTCCGGCAGCGTCAGGTAGGTACTCCCTCCATACCCCCAAGTTCTCGACGTTTAGGACATAATTGTACGAGTGATTAATTAGGGGATATTTTTTTCGGTCTGCTCCTATTAAATATGGTTGCGCGTGCATCTCATAGGGATGGCTAGTGCATCGAGGCGTGAGAGTGGCGAGTTGGGGTCGATTCGCGCCACAATGTTTTCTGCCGGGGCTTCATTTGCACTAGTTTTTTTGGCTGGCGTCCATGCGGCATGCGGTCCACCGCCACACGTATTTTTTGGAGGAAAAAGATATAATCAAAGTTAGTTATTTTGATTTGAGAAAAATCGAGGATGTTTTCGCAAAAAAGTGCGAGAGTGTCCGGGAGTGCGAGTTGATTTTCGATAAAGTGGAGGTCTTTTTGCAAACAAACCAATTGCCCATCCGGTCTGGATCGAGCGTTGCTTTGGAAATAATGCGAGACGCTTTTTGTAAAAAATTCGAGAGGCGTGCGAGCTGCGGGTTGATTTTCAAAAACTTAAAGGGTTTTTCGTAAAACGACCGTAGCTTCGCCGATCTGGCCAGTTGCCGATCGAACGGCCGCGAAAAGCCGGTGACGTGGCCACCCTGAGGCCGCGCCGTGGCCACACCAAATCATTTCTTTAGATGGGATTTTTTGCATGGCACTGTTGGGTCCTGCGTGGCGCGTTTTTGAGGTCAGTTTTTGTAAAGGATTGGTCATGATGCCTTGTTGAGTGAGCAGCAGGTCGGGCGCGTTTGTTTTCTCATTTGGGTGCGTTTCTTAGACGCTACGGCCATGTTGCACCGCAAGTAATCAAGCCAATTCAATCAATCACAAGGGAGGTGATAAGAGATTTCATGATAAATAAAGTGTTGCCTGCAATTAGAGCCAAGTGGCCAAGAGAAGATGTGAACAAGCCGATTTTCATACAACAAGACAATGCTCCTTCTCATTTAAAAGTGGATGATCCTCAATTTTGTGAGGTTGCTAAGCAAGATGGGTTTGACATTCGGCTTATATGTCAACCACCCAATTCTCCAGATTTTAACATTCTAGATTTGGGTTTTTGTCGAGCTATTCAAGCTATTCAATACAAGAAAGATGCTAAGACAATGAAAGATCTAATTCCAGTAGTCGAACAGGTAAATGAGCATCCATTCCATTGTTTCAATACAAGAAAGATTGTTTAGAAGATCTAATTTCTTGAACGCATGTTTTGTAGGCATTCTTGGAGTACAGTCCATGGAAAGGAAACAGGATTTTTGTAACACTACAATCTATTTTGAAGGAAGCAATGAAGCTTAAAGGTTGCAACAATATAAAAATTTCTCACTCGCAGAAACAAAGACAAGAGAGATAAGATAGGCTGCCATTGCAAATCCCTTGTGAAGCTTCATTGCTAGCCAAAGCACTTGCTAGTCTTCCTAAAACAAATTAGAAGATGCAAGTTAGTTTATGCAAATTATTAGATGCGTGTATCTTAGGTTTGCAATGGCTAAATTGTGAGATGCATGTACTGTACCTTAGTGCTCTTTGTTTGCTGCTTCTTAATATGCTCATCCACCTTCTTCAAAACTTCATCAGTGCACATGATTCTAGTACCATCTATCTTAAGTTTAGCCACATCAGGAATGTAGAACTCGTAATCGAACCTGTCCATTAGATGGAGCCACTTTGCTGAGATGTCGTAGTCTTCATGTAGAAGGCCACAATGTGCACACCTGCGAGCGTTCCGGCGAGCTTGGAAGCAAGCATCTCTGAAGACGCCGCCAGCGTGCAACGTGCCGCAGCGAGGACAGTGCACGACCTCGTCGTCGTCTAGGACGTCCTCGACGGAGTCCGGCACGACGTCGACGGAGTCCGGTACAAGCTCGACGGAGTCCAGCACGACGACATCGACGGAGTCCGGCACAACATCGACGGACTCCATGGCCACATCAGAGTCCAGCGCGTTGACGGAGACGAGCGCATCGACGGACTTCATGGCCTCCAAGTCCAGCACGCCGACAGAGTGCTGCACCTTGACGGACTCCATGGCCTCGAGCGAGCAGGAGAGCGTGGCGGCGAACCCTAAACGCGCTGTCGGCGCGGCCAACCCTAAATGACGGCGGCGAGGAAGCGAGCAGGAAGGGAGGCGGGTGCTGCGGAGAGGAAGGGAGGCGCGTGTAGCGGCCTTTACTCGTACGCGAGAGTCGAGAACGGGCGGCGACCAAGAGAAACGAGGCATCGAGCAATTAATGCCGAGTCCGGTGGTGAGCGGAACGGACGCGAGCGCTAGGGGTAAACCCGTCCGAGCGCGGCCGAGCGAGCGTAGAACGTCAGGTTTTGCGAAAACACGACGAGAGCTCAGGACGTCAAGAATTTCGGGTATGGAGGGAGTACGTACATGTTTCCCGCTGGCCACGGGATTTCCGGCAGCGTCAGGTAGGTACCTAGGTATGTTTTCTTCTTTTCTTTTTCTTTTTCTTTTCTTTCCTTTCCTTTCATTTTCATTTTTATTTATTTATTTATTTATTTATTTATTTATTTTTTATGTTTCTTTTATTTCCTTTTTCTTTTCTTTTCTTTTCTTTGTTTTCATGTTCTTATTAATTTTTTATTTTCTTTCTTCAATTTATTTTTTATTTTTGTTTCTTTTTTTGTTTCATGTGATTTTTCTTTTCTTTTTTAAATTTCTACTTTCCTATTTTACCTTACTTAATTATTTTTTATGTTTAGTTTTTTATTTTTCTATATTCCATGAGATGTGTTAATATAGTATAGATATGATGTTCTATAATGTTTTTTTGATGTTCACGTGGTATAATGTCTTGTTCTGTGATATTTTTTTTGTGATGTTCATGTATTATATATGTGATGTTCTATGATATTTTTGTGTATTCTCGTGTAATAAATGTGATATTCTATGATGTTTTTTTATATGTTCACGTGTATAGATGTGATGTTCTATGATGTATTTTATGATGTTCGCATAGTATATAATGATGTTCTATGATGTTTTCTGCGATATTCATGTAGTATATATTTGTTGTTCTATTATGTTTTTTGTGATGTTCTATAGTATATTTAGTGATGTTCATTTAGTATATATGTGATGTTCTATAATATATTTTTAGGATGTTTGAAAAGTAACCATGTAATATTCTTTTAAATTTTTCTCTGTTACGTGTTTTTTCCTTATGCTTTGCTCTAGATTTCATTATTTTTTATTTATGTTATGTATTTATTTTATTTTTATGTATATTATAATACCAATTTTATGAACTTAAACCGAGAACATTCTTCTTACAAAGACAGAATATTGTTCTTTGAACCTAGAACATCGTCTCTACTCAATAATAGAAAATGTTATATCTTTATAAGACAAATGTTCGTTAAATTTTTTATCTAAATATATCCATACGAAATCTTGTTTTGAAGGATTTATTTGCAAGAAATCCGAAAATGTAATCGGAATTTAATTTAGATGGTTGGTTTAGGAGTTATAACTTTTTTTAATTTATTGAAAGTTATTGCATACGACGTGTGTGAGGTGGTCCCTACGCGATGGCTAACCGGCGCGCTAGCTGTGTGCCCGAAAATTATTCCCGTGCGCTCCTTGGGCGGGAGTTCATTGGGCGGGAACCATCGGACTGAGGCTGCTGTCCGCCCAATCGGATACTAGCACCTCCCGAGACAGACGCATGCGACGCCGATGCACTCAGGTGCGATTGGGAGCTGAGAAAGATTCTATGTAACCATTGGCGAATGGCAATTTGGATGGACCTAGGAAGCCTTTGATGGAGTGTGGTGGGAGGAGGCCGGTAAGCTACAATTTTTCCGGTAAGCAACTAACATATACACATGTGCCTACTTGATATATACACAATGTTTTGGCAAAATTATTGGTTATTCTCAGGAATACTCGGGCATCCATATTGGATCCGCTCCTAATCAATCACACCCTTTGTTTGTCGGCTTAGTTGCTCGGAGTTGTTCCGATGTGCTCATATAGAGATAAGGTGTGGTGAGTGTTTGTAAGTTTTTTTACATCTGTATTTGTATTAAAAAAATATCATTTATTGTATAGCATGAAACATATTTTGATAGACCTTCTAAGTTTCTAGAGAAATGCAGAAATGTACAACATAAACGAGATTTATTAGATGCACTATAAAATATATTTTGATCAAGTTTATTTATTATTTTTTATAAATTTGATTA